GTCATAAAACCCCACAAAAGCTGATAGTTGATAACACGAGAATGGTGCTTGCTGAAAATCTCTTTACAGAGAAATATTCTCCGGCTATTGGCAATAAACTGTCCACAATTTATTCGAATTAACGCTTGGTGGAAAATATAAAACTGCCGGGGCGCGTAGTTCTTGATAAATATCCAATAGTCGCCAATTCTATGATGTCTTAATAACCCACAACAGCTGATCGTTGATAACACGGAAAATGTGCTGACTGAAAATCTCTTTCCAGAGAACTATTCTTTGGTTTGGCTATTGGAAATCAACTGTTCACAAAATACCCAAATCAACGCTTGGTGGAAAATATAAAACATAAAACTGCTGGTGCTCGTAATTCTTGATAAATATCCAATAGGCGCCAATTCTATGATGTCATAATAATCCACAACAGCTGATCGTTGATAAAATGATAACACGGTTTCACGATTGCCAGGATAGGTGTATATAAAACCTATTTCAACATTACTACCATGTTATTTTTTTATGTGAATGGTATTTCCACATTTTCTGTTACAATGGTCTTTGCAATAAAAAATTTCAGTTGAATCGTTTATTTATTCAACAAACTGATAGCTTAACATTAATTTCTTAATCTAATGTCTTTTTTAAGCACGTGTACCTGCAACTTTACGTCTTATTATGGGTAACCAAAAAGTAAAGGACTACCGCTGAATGATGCTCATATCATGATATTTCTTTACATCTACTTTACGTTGCAAGTCGTTTTTCATATTTCCATCAATAGCCGTTTTAGCGTTTCTCTAGGCGTAAGCACACTACCCCAATTCGTCAACGAACATGGCCTCATCCTATAAAAATTAATTTGGCGATGCTTCCTTGAATAATAAAAATGTAACGTGAGGAATGATAGTTTGCACCAAACTCCAATCTGACTGGTCTGTAGAAAGTTTACTACAATTGGCCAAAGAATAGTTCACTGAAAAAAAAAAGATTCTCAATGTCGCCTTCTGCTGCCTCACATTCTCACGTTATCACAATAAAGTGTTGTGGGGCTATCTCGTGGCATCATAGATTGCAACCTATTTTATGTATGCGACTGACATTGTACGAATCGTTACGCACAAATAACATGTAAGGGCTTGTCACTAAATGATGCTGATATCACAACGAGAACCGAACCGAAGAGTTATCGATTGGAAGTCAGGAGATCCCCAAAACAGAAACGCGGTTTCGATTCACCTGCTCTTACTTCATAGCGACCCCGTGTGTATTCAAACATAGCCTAGCGATATTTTGGTGCGGAATTTTGCAACCCTGAACCGGATAGAGGAATATGGACATTGCTTAAGGAGTAATTACGAGAATATCGATCAGAGACCGAAGACTTATCGATCGAAAGTTAGGGGATCCCCAAAACAGAAACTGCGGTTTCGATTCGAAAAATTCTGCAAACCCTAACTGGATTGTTTTGATTAGTTTTCAGCCAATATCAAAAATGTAGGAAACAATAGCCAACTCCCCATGTCGTCGTCGAAATACTACTCGAGGAAATACTTTTATGAAGAATTCTACAAATCCGAACTGAATTGTTTCGATTAGTTTCCAGCCAATAGCCTATTCACCAATCCTATATTTTGTGTCAAATACAACGGCGCTAACCCGGGTTGCGACGACTATTCAAACACAGCCTAGCGATATTTTGGTGAGGAATTCTGCAACTCCGAACCTGATAGAGGGATATGGACATTGCTTAAACTTTAACGAGTAATTATAAGTAACGAGATACGATCTCGCGGCGTGTATCCTTCGCTCTGACTCAATAGGGTGGAAAATTTCTCGAAGGAAACTTGCGCATCGCGACGACGTCAAAGTAACAAGAGAGATATGGACAATGCTTAAAGATTAATCACGAGATACGATCTAGCGGTGTGTATCCTTCGCTCTGACTCACTAGTGTGAAAACTTGCGCATCGGACACGCACACACACATTCAGTGCGTCGAAAATCTCTCGCTCTGCAAATATCCAGGGGCCCCATTCACAAAGCTTCGTTACCGCTTAACGTGTTAGTTAAGCACCGACTTTCTCGTGAAAAGCAAAAATGGTATTCACAGAGCTTCGTAAATATTCGAGAGAAATTATTCGAGAGAGTTTTTTTGGCGCCAAATGAGACGTCTCGTAAAGTGCCTTCTTCTCACATTTTATCGAGAATCGGTATTCACGAAAGTTCTTTAACCGCTGAAGAGCTCGCTAGCTAACGAGAACAATCTTCGCCTCGTTAACAGTTCGGATTGCTCTCAGCAGTGATTCAAATTAAAATAGGCTCGTTGGGACGTTAGCATACTTTGTAAAAATTGGCATAGTATCAAGGGGCCTTACTCAGGTAAGCGTGTATGTAGTCTAGTGCCGTTAACTTAGCTGTGGAATATCTGCCGCATTTACAGATTAAACTAGGGTTGAGATTCAGAGATTGTTCAGTTGTTGAAGTCATTGTTTTTTGTTTATTCTAGCACTGGCCTACAGTATTATGAACACAGATTCACAAATGGCTACCTATATTGAAGCTTGCAGAAGAAAAGTCCAACAATCTCTCCATGTCGTATCCGAAAGAAAAAAAATTAGCTAGATGCAAATGAAAGGACCTTAATAGAGGACTATAGACTCAATGAAAAATGAAAAATATGGAATCTTAACAAGCTTTGGCAACTCACTGATTTTATTGTCTGTTACACAAATAGTTCACAATATGTAATTTGTTTTGTGGCAATAAATCTCTCTCTGTGTAACTTCAGCATTTATTCCATGTAACCTATCCGTCAGTCTATAGATTACGCCACTGCTATATGAACAAGATTTCAAAACGCAGGCTGCAAAGGTGAAGCAGAGAAAGCCGATAGGTTACCGCGAAGGCGAAAGACGCTCGACCGTAAGCGGCGACAACTGATACGGCTGAGTGATCAGTCAGTGCATTTTGTTCAACTGCGACCGTGCGTAAGATTTCGAGAGAATGCTAGTGACCGTGCGTCAAGTGCTTACGAGGTCTTTGGTGAATCGCATTTAACGAGATTTCGCTATCACGATTCTGAGAGACACAGTTACGAGATCGTAAACCCGGCTTTTTACGAAGTTTAGCGAATGGCGCCCCAGATCTCTTCATCACTAATTAATTAATAACTCACTAATTATACGACATAAATAGGCTTCTGGTCCGAGATATGATGAATGCACATGCAAAATTTGGAGCAGATTCAACCACGCCTTCGTGAGATATCGCGTGCATCTAACAGACAGACAGACAGACAGACAGACAAATACCTATCAACATACTTACCGATTAAAATCGATAAGTAATAAGTAACGAGATACGATCTCGCGGCGTGTATTTTTCGCTTTGACTCAATAGCGTGGAAAATTTCTCAAAGGAAACTTGCGCATCGCGGCGACGTCAAAGTTACAAGAGGGATATGGACAATGCTTCAAAGATTAATCACGAGTTACGATCTAGCGTTATGTATCCTTCGCTCTGACCAAAGTGGCTATAAAGTTATACTGTTATAGTCACTTTGGCTCTGACTCACTAGCGTGAAAACTTGCGCATCGCACACACACACACTCAGCGCGTCTCAAAAATCTCTCGCTTCGCAAAAACCGTTCTCTAGATTTGCAAAAATCCAGATCTTTTCATCACTAATTAATTAATAACTCGCTAATTATACGACATAATTCATCCAAAATCAATAGGCTTCTGATCCGAGCTATGATGAATGAAGGTGCAAAATTTGGAGCAGATTTAACCTCGCTTTCGTGAGGTATCGCGTAACATACGAAAGTGTCTAACAGACAGACAGACAAATACCTATCAACATACTTACCGATCAAGATCGATAAGTAACGATCAAGATCGATCAGTAACAACTTTGTTCTTGGTTGGTGCCAAATGTAAGTCTACAAAATGGACAATTTTCAAATTCAAATATTAAAAAATTTTCTTAAAATCAAAGAATCTATTATCTCGAATATAATAAACCTCAAATATGTTTGAATATTCAATTCGTTTTGGACATCCTTTCCTTTTCATCAACTGCTTATACTATACAAAAGCGATATGCACGTCAGCTTTGCATTTTACTTTTGCGTTAAATTTAGAGTGCTCCTGAAGTATGTGCACCAGGATATCGAATAACATGAACCCTAACCTGGTACACATACTATTTTCAGGTTGTGCGCCATCTTGGTGCAAATACTTCAGGAGGTCCAAATTTAGAGCCTGATGGCTTGATGTGGATTTCGTTCTGGGAAGAATGAAGTTGTTTCGGCGATTACACAATTGATATAAGTGGAAATAATTGTTTTTGACTGATATTATTGTATTGTACGTTGTAGCGCATGAATAGGCTACTATGTTTACGGATGGTCTTCGTTTCGTTGTTCTAGCACGTGAATTTGATTCTATGCTGTGTTTGAGATTAAATGCTAATTCTTGAATATATGATCTGATTGTTGGTGTGGAGGTTTGGGAAGTAAGGTGCCTCCATACTAATAAATATAGTTGCCATCAACACGGATAACTATAACAGGGATATTATGTCACTAGTTGAAAACAACACACCGTATTTTAGGTGGTAGTCCCTGTAATATTTTAGTTAATGTGAACATGCGAGAATAATTCCTAAAACCTCATCCTCTAAAACGTAAAATACTTCCATATATACCCTAAATTAATTTTCAGTACGATTTGTCTGGTTCTAGAGATTATCTATATCTATTATCTCGGTCCGCATATCCTGAGTGCACTGCACACCTTGTTAGCTCGCTCGAGTCAACATTAAATATGGCCAATTATTATTAGTATTGAACCATTTCTTATCACCTGGCATCAGTCAAAATTATCATCATCTAATCTAATGAAGCATTAGCCATTCTGATAATGCGCTATATAAACATTTATTGATTAGAAAGTTAGCATATGACTGAGTAACTGGAGATATAGTGATATAGAGAATGCAGATAATGAAAATTCAATATTTTGTGAGTATCTGTACATATAATTATCAGTAGAAATTTATAGTGATATAAAATAATCTATCCATTATATTTGACATGGCTTTTATGCCCTGGTTTGAAAAAAATCATTATCATATAAATCACACCCAAAAAAAAATAAAAAAGGGTCGTGTAACACTCGTGTTATGCCCCTGAGAAACTTCCAAAATATTGGGTAATTTGTGTAATGATTCCTTCTACCGTTTTTATCTTACAGGTCAATCAATTTGTAAAATAAAGTTCAAATCAGATGTGATCAAGGTAAACTGTTTATACGTTACATCAAAATTCAATACATTGCACCACTTTCCTATAGTTTCAGATGAAGCTAATTTAAGTCAATAATAAATTGTTGAGTTCTTTGTAATTTTTACATTTAAATAGGCATGTAAAAGATTCACTCTACATCCAAACTATAGTTAATGTTCGACAATTATTTCGGAGCTTTATTTTTCTGGATTCTGGATGGGAAACTCAGGGATAATGATTATTTTGCCATCACGTTGTAAGATAATTCCCATAATCTCTAAATCCCAAGATGCCGAGCCTGCTTCAGTTACAGAGAAACCAAGCTCTCCATTGTCGTCTGGAACAACTACATACTGGCTATTCGCGGTACACTGTAGACTAACTCCACCTCCATAGCTATTGAGTTTGAAATTTCTGAAAAAAAAAATGAAAATAAATTCGAAAACATTATTAATTACAGTAATCAACAATACAATATTTGCAAAATCTATACCTCCTAATAAAAATGTTCAAAGAATGAACTTAAATTATAATATATATATGTTTGTTATAAGTGAGAATTTATTCAATTTTTATTCAGGTTACACTTTACCTTAAAATCTGTCGCATTACTAATATCTCAACCATTGGTTGTAATGGTGACCGATGACTAACATATTTTTGAGTTATAAACGCTTGATCTAAATTCTAAACGTACGGATGAGAATTCCTTGACTGATTAAAACTTTGAATGTTGAGCAAACAGCAAATCAATTCACTGGTATGTGAGATGTATTGCAATGGAATCAAGTATTCATTCCCACCCTTTTAATAACTATGATATTATTATATTGCGTAATAATTTGCTTTAAAGGCGGTCCATGCAGAATCACAAACGTCTTTGTCTCTATTAATACTAGTACCAAGCAAAAAATGATGATTGATTGTTGGGCGATTACCCCTTGTATTTTTAGCATTGATGCGTACGGAAGGACAAACGAAAATCAAGACCTTTTTTACGCTTAGATGCAAAGTCTTTAGGCCATTATAAGTTATAATTCCCACATCCATCCAGTAATATGCTAAACCTAAAAGCTTCAAATTTTCATCACTACTTGTATATATTCTCCTGTTATATTCTGCGTCCAAAACTTGCAAGTAAATTGGATTGTAAGCACACAATTGAGCTTATCAATCAAGTCCATTTAGGATATGGTTCCTTGTTCTATTTATATCTCACGCTGCCACTGTTCCAAATTGCAGAGCATCATTGGCCTTTAAAGTTGGAGTCGCAAACTGAAATTTCCCATCGTCAGTCCAGTTCACAGTCCAATCCTGATCTCCACTGAGCTGTTGGGTTTGAATTGGATCATTCAGTTTCGCTCCAACACTCACCCATTTCTGAGAACTGTACACTTGGTGAATTTGAATCATGAAAGTAGCAATTTTTCTGAAGAAAATATAAAAACTCTGAATTTGTCCATTTGTAATCAGGTGAAAACAATTTTCATCTATGCAAGAGTTTTTTCTCAAAATGTCCTGAATGATGTTTACGCTGAAGCGCATGCAGGTGAGATAGGATTTAAACCAGATATTTAAATATATGTATATATGCGTAGGCACGAATTAATGATGAAATTAAAATTTTCGAATTTGTTCTTAGCACATCGGTAACAGTTCCATAAAATCACATTTCAAGTTAGACAGTAAAATAGAGCGTGATAATAAACTCATTTCGTGAACAAATGATCGTAATCTTCACCATTTCGTCCAATAAAGAATCAACTAATTTGCAGTATAAAAATAACCACACCTAGACAAATAGTCGTTGATAGTTGTGATTTGGATTTGGAAGCGGAAAACCAAATTTTCTCCTCAAATAATCAATATACATTGTGCAGTGCAGATGACAGACTGCCAAGAATTATTTTAAATTATAAGAAACCAATTGGGTAATTTCAATATTCAAGCACAACTACACAAGGCCTTAGACTTAAATGAAATAATTTTGGACAAATTCGCGCAAACATAATCCTACAAATAGTTAAAAATGAATACTAACAAATCAATCATTTCAAACGAAGGTGAAAGGAACCAGTGCATTGCAAAGGTTGGGCTCGCGGTTGTCACCATTTCCAACTTTCCTTCGTTATTGTACAGATATCTGTTTGTGGTCTTTTCAGCCCGCAGAAACAGCCCTCGATCAGGTTGAAGAAGCATCGAAAAATATCTTTAAAACATAAACCTAGTCAAGTCGTATCTCAATTGATATTGATGGTGATATATCAATTCCAAGGAGTAGACTGCATACCGCATACACTGCAGTTTTGACATGTGCACTATACAGTCAGTCGAGATCTGGATTCAGAGTCGATTTTCTCAATTCGTGGTTGAGAGGCAAAAGAAGACTATAGATCTTCCATGTTCCAGTGACTATAGTACTTGGGAGACGAAGCCTCTTCCCCCGTTAACAGCAGCGTTCTTTCAGACTTTAGTAACAACAATATTGGCAACGTAGATTAGATAATATATGTTTGTTTTTTCCATATAATCCTCCCATTCAACAATGGTCTAACGTTTTTGATTTGGTCGCAAAAAGTTAGTGAAGCGTTTGAAGAAAGTGCAAAAGTGCAAGTTATCATCTCAATAAATGTATTTCAATTACTATAACAATTTTTTGACTGTATTCTTCATCACTAAATAAAACTGTTATTCCAATGGGCTTTAGATTAGCTCATTTCCGCAAATTCTCTGCGTCAGATCTTTAGGCTATTATTTTGGCAATAACAATGCGAAACTGCATGATCACGATTTTGCATGAAATAGCGTTTTCGTGTACTTGAACCAGACGGTGGAAATCGGTGGAAATATTATAACATTAATAAATAATTTCGATCATTGCAATGAGTCAATATTATTATTTTTTTACATTGGTCAATTTTACATTCAACGTCTTAGATGGTGAATATGCTTTATGAGAAAAAAGTGTAAACATGTATTTTTCATCAGTAGATGTTATCGCAACCATACGACTACATTATTGATATTTGCAGAGTATATCAATAAATATCAAATTTATCTCCTCACCTCCCCTTCCCGTTATTGTCCGAAATATCGTTATCATATTCAAGCGTAACATCGTTGTTTGTTTCGTTGAACGTGACGTACATTTTCTTATTATTCTCTGACATAATATGAAAACTCCACAACAATTTATCGTTATATCTCTCCAATCTCCAGCCTTCAGCACCTTCGGGACTTAGTTGGACAGGAATATTGTCATGTAAAGATCGGTTGCTGGAAATCCATTTTTGGCCTTCCTTGTCCGCTAATTCAAATTCAACAATATTCTGGCAATCATGATTTTGCGTCTTCTTGGATTTTATGGGATCGCATCCACAAAATTTCGACATTATTTTATTATTGTATTTCTTGAAAAATAAAATGAAAATGGTTAAAGTGGAATATCCGGTTTCAATAGCAAATATACAAATGTACATGTTTTGTCGATACGGCACTGACAACGCATGTAATACCAATTTCACAATTCTTGTTCTGAAGTTTTTTATTCAAGTATTTTCAATTTTTATTAATCCAAAAGTCCCTCGAGTGATTGAAAAAATTTCAAATTCAATGCGGAATAGGTCGTTTTGAAATATATGGTTTATGTGAGTCATTGTAGCAATTTATATTTTTCTATGGTACGAACAGGAAAGACAGGTGACGTTGCGGTGACTAATAACGGCATTATAGTTCAAAATGTGCATTGTGTGGGATCATACTTTATATTATTTTCAATTTTCTCAGCAACTACACGGTCTTGTACTGAATACATGTGACCATCACGTTTCTTCATTTTTTGCATCTCCCTTTGGAAAAATGATCTCGCACAAAATTGCTCTGGTAGGTGTCATCTGTAGAATTATTTTCTTTCATTTTTTACTACTTATATGCACTACACAGAACTAGCAAGACATTTTTCTGCGAACTAACCCATCTTTTGCGCAAAAGTAAATCACGAATGAATCACAATAAAACGATGCCACTAATAAATATTTTTAGACATTCTCTTACCATTTTTTTATAGTCAGTAGTTGAATTATCATTGCGCTTTACAGACAAATTATTACAGAACGTTCGCACATTATTTTTCATTCATTACTTATTTCAATTCAGAAAAGCTTGTGATTCTTATACTATAACGAAAACTGAAAGTACAATCTTAGCTCCTTTTATCTCAACTATTCGCTTTTCTCTTTACAGAATATTTCCTTATGCACGTATTGAAACCAACGTCAATCAGTTCCGTTGGACTCAAGCGCCGGGAAAGACTCATTGACTCCCAATTTGAAGGAAAAAGGCACATCTAGTAGAAAAATTGACGATAATTGTGTAATAAACTTGCCGATGCACATTTATGGATATTCTGTGACGAATATTTATTGATACAAGTCTCACAAACTCTAGAAAATCGAGTATATTAACTCAATCGTGCTTTACATTTTCCAGTAATAATCGTGTATTTGCCCAATGTCATTTTAAACTATGATATATACATATGACATGGAATACAACATATATTTCAGTGGAAGAAGTTCGTCACATTTCGATACAAAACTTTCGGCAGACTGCCGGGTTCAAAATTGACAATAACTTGCGCAACATAAAGTTACTCGGCCGAAATCTCACCGAAGGAACTTATGTTTATTTTCTGTGTTGCATGTAATAGCAACGATTAATCTTTTATTAATAGGATTGCCACGATGCAACTCTTGAATTAAATTGAAAACATTATTTGAGCGCTTCAAACTAAATTATTTCATAACCACAGACTGAAGAATATTATATATAAATCATAACGATGTATGCGGTGAAAAAATGTAATGTTTTTTACGGTTTAGATAAATTTTATCATGGTATTAATTAAATACGGGAATAAATGTTGTGAGCATACAATGTTAATAAAATTCACGAGAGAGCTATTAAAGTAAAATTATTGTGTTAGATACCGAGGAATGGGAAAATTTGAAGACGAGAGAAAACTTTTTCAAAACTAACTTTTACAAAATCTCATTTCCTAGTACACGACTTTGGCATTCATTTATCGATTCAAACATTTGTTGTTAGTTTCACATTAGCGTACTTTCCATCGCCTGTTTTATTTCAAGTTTCATTATCTGCGACGTAAGGAATGAGATCCAATAACTGAAGATACCACATTCTCCCAATATAACTTGTGGTTTTCCAGTACACTCGTTCTACAGGGTAATATGCCACGGGACATTTCTTAGTTGAGTAAACACTAAGATATGCGATCATAAAGATTACAACATGACTAATAACTCCGTTTGTTAATGCTTTTTACTTCCGTACCAACAGTGTAGACTATTTTTGTGCATCGTAAAATTGATATTATATTGCAATTAATATTATATATATTGCAATTTTACTTGTTACAAATTTTGAACTCATTATGCATTCCTCTTGGTGGTAGACACATGCGTGAATACTTTCAAATCCAAATAACTAAGCAAGTACATTACAAAAGGTAATTTCGCGATACCGGGCTTCTATGTAAATTGGGCTAGACAAAAACGGATTGTTTCGCGAATAAAATGCTGAGATGATGCATATTTACACCAACTAAATTCCAGTAACATGCAGTTTGCACGAATCGATTTTGATAAGTATTCAATTTTTGGGATTCAATTATATATACGTACTGTTTGCGGTATGCACTGCCTACCATAATTTATTCAATTTCATTAAAAATTGGTGTATTTTGTTTTGATCGACGTCAAGTTGAAATACAGACTCGCATAAATACGCCGAGGCGAAGGGCTTCTTTCGGGCATTGAGTGCGCGACTCTTACTGACGTTGATAACTTTCATAGCATCCTGTACAAATGCATTTAGATCAGGAGAATTTTTACCTACTAGGGCCTCTCGATGAATCATACAGTGGTGAAAAGTAATAGGTGTATCACCTGCAGATTGCACTCTCGCATGAAATCCGGCTGTAAATCATGTTATTGCTGCTGCTACGTCGTTACACATGTCGGTACGCAGAAAACTGTTGGTATATTTTCTTTTCGTATGCCTACTATTGCTTTTCTCATTGCATTCGCGCCTCTTCAATGCGCAAGTCGTTGTCGTATTCGCCTCTACTTCTGCCGCAACGTCATCGGCAGTTCCATATCCATTCATTCCGTTAAATTTACTTTTTCAGTATTTAGCCTGCAATATTATTTACCAGTTTCAAACATTGAAATTTAACTTGAAACTTTCAACTTGATAATAGAGGGTACAATTTAAAAAGTCTGGAATCTATGAAGTATTAATAAATTATATACGTGGTAAAAAAAAATCGGATTATCAAAAGCTAGATCCTGACAGAACTCAAAGTTTAATGATTTCCAGTGCTACTACTATGTAGAGCAGCGATTCCCAAACTGTGGTACGCGTACCACCTGTGGTACGCGAGAGTCTTTCAGGTGGTACGCGACCAACTTTCAACAATTTGCAATGTTGCGTTTCAATTACTTTTAATTTGTGGTTTCGCACGTTTATGAAGCAACACTTATTTTGTTCAAGATGATCAAACGCCAATTACCAACTTTCATGACCTTTGACCGATGCTGTCAGCAAAATATTTGGCGGGAACGCTCTCCTTACCGGCCGTCTCAGACTACGTACGGTTGCTATTCGTACTTGCTTTCAAAAGCCTGCGGTGTGTGAATATTGCGAAATTTTGTTTAATTCAACTATTGACAACATGTCTAAACGAAATTACAGTCCAGCTTACATAAAGTACGGATTCATAGCTATTGAACACAACGGAGAAGTTTTGCCGCAATGTGTAGTGTGCATGAAAACGCTTGCTAATTCGGCTATGAAACCAAGCTTACTCCAACGACATCTTGACACAAATCATCCCGACAAGAAGGATCGAAATGAGAGTTTCTTTCAGCGACTGGGCGAGCAAGTGAAACGACAGCGCTTCGACAACACTGGCACAATTTATCAGAGAAAGAAGTGTGCTGTCAAGGCATCCTATGAAGTCGCTCTCCTGATAGCAAAAAATCAGAAAGCACATACCATTGGAGAGCGCCTCATTATGCCAGCTGCAAAGATGTTAGTAAAAAATGTACTTGGTGAAGAGGCGGCTGCAAAGCTAGTAAGTGTTCCCCTCTCCAACAATACGGTTAAGAATAGAATAGAAGAGATGTCAGTCGATATTGCTGAGCAAGTGATTTCAGGAGCGAAAGATTCAGAGTATGGTTTTTCCATTCAATTGGACGAGTCGACGGACGTAACAAATAACGCACAGTTACTTGTGTATGTTCGTTATACACAAGAAAAGGCTGTAAAAACTGAATTACTTATGAGCAAAGAACTTTCAGGTACAACAAAGGGAAAGGATATTTTCGAAGCATTAGACAGTTTTTTCAAAGTGAATAAACTGGACTGGGGAAAGTTGATTGGCTGTACAACAGATGGAGCTCCATCAATGCTAGGACATAAATCAGGCTTCAGAGCTCATGTGACGGCTGTGGCGCAAAACGTGACTTTTGTTCATTGTTTTATTCATAGATTCGCCCTATGCGCGAAAGTGCTACCTCAGAACATGTTATCATGCTTGAACCGAGTTATCAAACTAGTAAATTTCGTCAAAACATCTGCTCTGAATACTCGGTTGTTTAAACTTCTTTGTGAGGATCTCGGTTCTAACCACAGCTGTCTCCTCTTCTATACGGAGGTGCGTTGGCTCTCTCGTGGTAATGCAACAAGGCGCCTGTTTGAACTGCGACATGAGCTTCTGCAATTCTTCAAGGAGAAGAATCACGATTTTCAAAACGACCTGGAGAGCAAAGATTTTCTTACTAGATTGGCATATCTATCAGACATTTTTGAAGTTCTGAACAACTTCAACCTGTCGTTTCAAGGACCCAATCTAACTGTAACAGATTTCATATCAAAGCTTAGAGCACTCATTCGTAAGCTTGACCTCTGGACATGGAATGTTAGCAATCAAAACTACGGAATGTTCAAATGCCTCACTTCTGTTGAGAAAAATCCTGATGGTGGCATTTCTAAAGAAATTATTGATCATCTTTCGCAACTAAAGACGGAGCTATTGAATTACTTTCCTGATGTTGCATACTGTGCTTACTCCGTCAACCCATTTTTCATTGATCCGGTTGATGTGCCTGTAGGGACCGGGGAACAAGAAGAATTAATAGACATTCAAACTGATGAGGCAGCAAAAATAAAACATAAGGAATGTTGTCCAATCAATTTCTGGTTGAGCATGGCATCATCGTATTCTAACCTAGTACGTCACGCTGTTTCCCAGCTATTGATTTTTCCATCTACGTGGGAGTGCGAACAAGGGTTTTCGGCTTTGATGGCCATCAAATCGAAAAGCCGAAATCGTCTTGGAACGCCAGAACATGACTTTCGATGCGCTGTCAGCAAAGCTCTTCCTCGCATTGACCAGCTGGTGGAGAAAAAACAACTACATCCATCTCATTAAAATTTTTAATTGGCTTCATTTTGTTTAATTTATGGTTTTTATCTCTTTCTGGAATGACATTTGTCAAATCTTAATGCTGCTACACGCTCAGTTTTCTTATCTACAGGTGCATAGTTTATGGTTTGAGATATTCTAGTCAAGTGTAACTTAGGTGGTACGCGAACGCTGCACAAAATTAAAAATGGTACGCGGGAATGAAAAGTTTGGGAACCACTGATGTAGAGTGTAGACCAGTGATTCCCAAACTAGGGTCCGCGGACCTTTTGGGGTCCGTGAAGTACTTTCCGAGGGTCCGCGAAAGAAATCTGTTGGATGGCTCAAAGTTTGATAATGCAAAAATTAACTGCTTAAATTTGGAAAGACACATTTATCGCATTATGATGCTTTACAATCTCTGCTGAGGACACTGATTCTTCACTTTCTGTTTCGATTAGGCTTTCCCGATTGTGACGTCACAAAGCTATGGCAGCTCCTGCCACGAACAAACCGCGGCGTCTCATGCCATGGTTTAATGGCGTTATAATTTAGTAATCAGTATTATCGGCATATTATCGAAGTCATGTGCCGTTTTTTTGTTTAATATACAGAATTATATCTAATTAAATCTGGAACCAAACCTCAAATCCATTAAAACTGTATTGATAAAAAAAAAGTACCAACCTACTCAGCTAAAAAGTCAGTCGCCGTGGTTTGACCGGAGCTCTAGAAGTAATCTATGCGCACCAAGATGGCGCACAACCTGAATATGGTATTGTGTACCGGTTAGGGTTCAGGTCGTGCGACATCTTGGTACATATGCTTCTGGAGCGCCGTTTAGCCATAGCGGCCATTGTTTGGAAATCTCGCTAAATACTTAAAACTGCACTTGGAAGTGTAGATGGCGCTGCCTTTTTGCATGCTTGTTGTTATAGGAGAGAATAACAGTAGGTAGTTGATAAAGTATGCCACTTCGTTTCTAAATGCTGTTTTACGCTCTTGTTTTGAAAGGTAGATAGCGTTAAGTATAGCGCAGTCAGAAAGGCACTACGTTGTAGTTTCTAGATGTCAAATTTAGTCTTTGACACACGGTAACGGTATAGGCATATATTTTTACGTTTTCAACTCTGTATTATCAATTTCGAAATGTCTTCTAAAATTAAGATTGAGATAATCGTATGTAATTTTATCGTGATAAACGCAGGTGAAGATATGTTTTGCACTACACCGTGTGGAGCATTTATTTTGTTGTGAGCTTGTTTTATGTGATATCTTTCTGTCTTTCTTTGATAATGTTTTATTTTAGTCAATTAGTGCACAGGGCCGCGAAACAAAAACAAAATTGCAAGAGGTCCGTCAGACATTTTTTTGAAAAAGTTTGGGAACCACTGGTGTAGACTAACATATTATTTCAATTTTTCATCAGACTATTCACGCTATTGTTGCAAAATGACAGAAGTATGTTGTTTCGAGCAGGTGTTTCGGAAAGTAATCGCTAACTAATAAGAACTGATGAAGGTATACTTGAAATGATGACACTGATACCCGAGTACGGATATGCGATGGTTTATTATACCTTCGTTTAAAATATTATGTCGAAGGTAATATTGTGTGATAGCCTACTGGTATCCAAGGGCAAACAACAAGCATCAGACGGCTTAATCATATGATAAACAACGGCCTCTCGTCCAGTCGTCCGGTTGCCAGTCCATGTCGGGTACGGGATTAGTCAGACAGTTCTTTGTTTCAGATGCATGGAACTCGATGGTGGAGAAAGCACCGAGGAGCCCAGCAATCCTCTCGCACATAATTATTCCTAATGGGATTCAAACCTGTAATCCCACGCAGGTTAATCAAAAGGAGCGATGGCGTGCGTATTTCTAATGCCTAGAACGACCGATGAGCCGAGGTCGTAATAATATATCAACGAGAATATCGGTCAGAGACCGAAGACTTATCGATCGAAAGTTAGGAGATCCCCCGAAAAAGCGCTCTTACTCCACAGTGACACCTTGTGTCCCATCACTAATTAATTAATAACTCGCTAATTATACGACATAATTCATCCAAAATCAATAGGCTTCTGGTCCGACATATGATGAATGCACATGCAAAATCTGGAGCAGATTCAATCTTGCTTTCGTGAGATATTGCGTGCATCTAACAGACAGACAAACAAACAGACAGACAAATACCTATCAACATACTTACCGATTAAAATCGACAAGTAATAAGTACGGTAGTCAGTGAATAGCACAGACAGTACGTATATATAATTGAATCCCAAAAATTAAAAACTTATCAAAATCGATTCGCGCTAACTGCATGTTCCTGAAATTTTACTGGCGTAAATATGCATTCTCGCATCGTTTTATTCGCTTAACATCCGTTTTTGTCTAGCTTAATATACATAGAAGCCCGGTATCGCGGCATAGAAGCCCGGTATCGCCCGGTATTTTGCAAATTAACTTGTTAGAAAAACGACAATCGCTCAATACATTTCATAGGAATTTTAAATATTTTACTATAAATATGACAAACGCGTATTTGCTATCACGAAAATTAATATTCCTTATTATCTACTTATACTATATTGTAATCGCGTAAGGGTTCTTAGATGTTTACGGCCGATACCCCGGTTTAGACCAAATAGCTTTGATTCAGTCGCAGATTTTGTACGCCAGTTCTCGTCGTCAGTTGTTAACGTGATCTTAGTTGGCTGGTTATTGGCTGCATACCTGGTTATTCAACAGCTTCACCAATCCAATTAAACTTCATAAATTTAATTCCAAAACTTTGTTCGCAACATCAAGAATTCATTTAGTAAACGAAAATAATTTTCTACGGATTCGTTTATATGGAGAAACTTATGGAGCGCAGTATGAAAGCGTAAGTCATTGTCAATCAGGAAATCTTCATTCCTCCGCAGGTACACCGATACTACGAACAAAGCGACTAAATTGTTTACTCATTATGCGTAAACCTATTTAAAACAATTCAAATCAGGTAACGAATGTCATCTCAGAATCTGAAGTTCAGCACTGAAAACTATGGATCAAAGATGATACCATACTCGTAATGCTGCCTACTATATGACTTTTATTTTTTGATCTGGAGGAAAAAATGCATTATACGAGCTATAGTTGGCGATTTAACAGGAAATGCTACCGCAAGTACGTGCGCAGGGCATGGCGCAAGGTATTGTCAATTTTGATCCAGGCAGTCTGCCGAAAGTTTTGTATCAAAATGTGACGAAGCGCTTCCACTGAATAAATCGTGCTTTACATTTTCCAGTAAAAATCCTGTATTTGCCCAATGTCATTTTAAACTATGATACAAATGACATGGAATACAACATATATTTCGGTGGAAGAAGTTCGTCACATTTCGATACAAAACTTTCGGCAGACTGCCGGGTTTAAAATTGACAATAACTTGCGCAACATAAAGTTACTCGGCCGAAATCTCACCGAAGGAACTTATGTTTATTTTCTGTGTTGCATGTAATAGCAACGATTAATCTTTTATTAATAGGATTGCCACGATGCAACTCTTGAAGAAAATCGAAGACTTTATTTGAGCGCTTCAAACTAAATTATTTCATAACCACGGACTGAATAATATTATATATAAATCATAACGATGTATGCGGTGAAAAAATGTAATGTTTTTTACGGTTTAGATAAATTTTATCATGGTATTAATTAAATACGGGAATAAATGTTGTGAACATACAATGTTAATAAAATTCACGAGAGAGCTATTAAAGTAAAATTATTGTGTTAGATACCGAGGAATGGGAAAATTTGAAGACGAGAGAAAACTTTTTCAAAACTAACTTTTACAAAATCTCATTTCCTAGTACACGACTTTGGCATTCATTTATCGATTCAAACATTTGTTGTTAGTTTCACATTAGCGTACTTTCCATCGCATGTTTTATTTCAAGTTTCATTATCAGCGACGTAAGGAATGAGATCCAATAACTGAAGATACCACATTCTCCCAATATAACTTGTGGTTTTCCAGTACACTCGTTCTACAGGGTAAAAATGCCACGGGACACTAAGATATGCGATCATAAAGATTACGTCATGACTAATACCTCCGTTTGTTAATGCTTTTTACTTCCGTACCAACAGTGTAGACTATTTTTGTGCATCGTAAAATTGATATTATATTGCAATTACTATTATATATATTGCAATTTTACTTGTTACAAATTTTGAACTCATTATGCATTCTTCTTGGTGGTAGACACATGCGTGAATACTTTCAAAACCAAATAACCAAGCAAGTACATTACAAAAGGTAATTTCGCGATACCGGGCTTCTATGTAAATTGGGCTAGACAAAAACGGATTGTTTCGCGAATAAAATGCTGAGATGATGCATATTTACACCAACTAAATTTCGGTAACATGCAGTTTGCACGAATCGATTTTGATAAGTATTTTAGGAATTCAATTATATA